AATTTTTTAAAGTTCTTATCTGTAAAATGGGATAATGGTACACACCTTATAGATACTCATAAGCACATAAACACATGAAGGATTTAGAAAGGCCATCTGGAATCTGCCAAAAATAGTTAGCTGTTCTTCTAAAAGTGGCTTTTCTATTTTTTTTTTTTTTTTGGGGGACACAGAGTCTCACTCTATCACCCAGGCTGGAGTGCAGTGGCACAATCTCAGCTCACTGCAACTTCTGCCACCCAGGATCAAGTGATTCTCATGCCTCAGGCACCCAAGTAGCTGGGACCACAGGCATGTACCACCATGCCTGGCTAATATTTGTATTTTTAGTAGAGATGGGATTTCGCCATATTGGCCAGACTGGTCTTGAACTACTGATCTCAGATGATCTGCTGGCCTCAGCCTCCCAAAGTACTGGCATTACAGGCATGAGCCACCGTGCCTGGCCTTATTAAAGAGACAGGGTCTTATGGCTGCATGCAGCGGCTCACGCCTGCAAAAGCACTTTGGGAGGCCAAGGCAGGTAGATGACCTGAGGTCAGGAGTTTGAGACCAGCCTTGTCAACAGACTAAGACCCCATTGATAAAATTAAAAATAAAAATAAAAATAAATTGGAGGCTGGGCATGGTGGCTTATGCCTGTAATCCCAGCACTTTGGGAGGCTGAGGTGGGCAGATCACCTGGGGTCAGGAACTTGAGACCAGGCTGGTCAACTTGGTGAAACCCCGTCTCTACTAAAAATACAACAATCAGCTGGGTGTGGTGGCACACACCTGTAATCCCAGTTACTTGGGAGGCTGAAGCAGGAGAATCACTTGAACCCAGGGAGGTGGAGGTTACAGTGAGCGGAGATGGCACCATTGCACTCCAGCTTGGGGGACAGAGCAAGACTCCGTCTCCAAAAAAGTGGAAAATAGAGATAAGCAAAAGGAGCATGAAAATCCAATAGCATACCACCCAGAAATAACCAACATTTTAGGGAATATCATAAAATTTCCCCCTAAATACATATTTTAAAAACACTGAAAAGTATTACACTTTTGTGTAACTTGCTTTATTCCATTATACTGATATACTATAAGCAGTCTACTATTTAGACATTGTGGCCTTTTCAATTCTTTTACAAGTGTAAATGGTTTTATATACACTGACATTCTTATGGCCTTTATGCAGGATCATTTTTGAGAAGCAGGACTGCAGGCTTAAGGGGTATGCGTAGTTTTAAGGCCCTTCACATATTATTGCCGAATTAGAAGAGCTGCTTTTAGAGCATATTGCATATTGTGTGGTGGCCCAGTGTATTTTCCAAATTTCTGATAATGTGATATTGAATAAACCACTTAACCTCTTGGAGTCTTATCTCCAAAATGTGGAAATAACAGCACTGTATGTGTGTGTGTGTATATCTATCTAGATAGATATACACACACACACCTCAATATATATATACACACAGAGGACTGTATCTTTCTCAGGTGGAGGCTGTGAGGATTATACAAAATCACACATGTAAATGCTTACTACAATGCCTATTATATAATAAGGGCTCAACACAGAGCAGCTGCTAGTATGGTTATGGTGAACATTATTGCTTTATTAAGAGGAAACAAAGTTAAAAAAATAAGCAATAAAGCTCAGAGCAGTCAACTGTTTAGCCTGCTTCTCACCTTCAAACCTGTTCCCAGAGCCATGTGGCTGGAAGGTCAAGTGGCAGTGTCTACCATGGCTCCCTTGAAGCTGGCAGGCCCCACACCTGGCTGCTACCTTGCTAAGTCTCAGGCACTTACCTACCCAAGACTCCACTAGACTGAGTTCCCTGAGGGCAAGTATCATCTTTATCATCTGCCTCAGCCCAGTGCCTGGCAACACTTTGTAAAATAAAAATTCAGCAAATACGAACTGGCACTCTCTCTGGACCAGAAGCTACACATGAAGGATGATATGGGTATGGGATAGAGCTACACCGTAAAGGGCAATTTGGAATCCTACAGGCCTGGGGCAACAGTAGCCTTTTCAGAGAGGCAGAGATGTGAGGATCATGCACCCCATGACCCACTATTCAGAATCCTTCTATATTTCCCATAGCTAGTCTTCTACGTTTTTGTACAGGCTGACTTCTTTTCCTGGAGTGCTTATTTTCCTTCTCCATATGCCTAATTCTTTCTTGTTAAGGCTGAGCTTCAAGGAACACATGCTCTTGCAAGCCCCAGGCTTCTACTATGTCTCAACAATTCAGATGGCTGGAACATCTCTCAGGACTTCCTCTGTAGAATCCCCAAAGTGGCCTAAGGATTCCTTTACCCATCCCACCTTACCTATCTCAAAGCAAGGAGCTAAAAACCACAAGGCAGGTTGAAATTCAGTATCAGCAAGAGCTTCGTGATGAGTAAAAAGCACTGGAGAAACAATTTGAGGAGAGAAAAGAAAGACCTTTAAGGGGGCTCTCCCTTCCTTCCAGGTTAGGGCTAGCAAAAGATGCTGCAGGTGCTTGAGGGCCTGGGTTATCGAAGGTTGAGGTATTACCTGCTGGAGCATCCTCCTTCAATGTGGTCAGCCAGGGTTCTGGGTTGCAGGAGGTACAAGGAGTACTATCCACCTAGTCATGGGACCATGGGCTGGGGTATGGTGCCAACAAAGGGCTCAGTACTGGAGGAATCTCAGATAAGTCACTCCAGAGCCTGTGGCATGAGGGAGAAGACAAGGACGACATACAGGTGAGGGCTTTTCTGGGGTGACTCACTCACTCCTATTCTTCCCACCAAGCAGGAGCAACCAAAATGAGAACCAAGGCAGGCCCGGGCAGAGAATGAGTGTCCTTTCTCTTGCCAATTAGGAGACAGGAGAAACTTTTATGAGAGCCTGGGCCAGTTTTATTACAGGGTTAGGGTTTGGGGTGGGGCTGCAAATCCTCTGGGTCTGTATGCTATGGAAGAGGAACAAGATACTGGGGCGACAGAGAAGCCTTGTGCCCTATCCTCTAGACAGAAATACCCTATTGCAGTGTAGCCAGTTGTTGGTGGGGAGGGGAAACTGGAGTCATCTCTTGCTGTTCCAGGAAAGGTGTGGTATGGTAAGGAAATCATAGTTCAACCACTTACTGGGTGTGTGATTCTGGGTCAGCCACATCACCCAACTCAATTTCTTACCTTGAAAATGGGGACAGTTAAATCTGCCTCATAAGGAGTGGTTGTGAAGGTCAGTGAGGTCATGGTTTGACAGCACCACACTACCGAGACCAACATGGCCGTAGAGACCCCCACCCAGGCAGTGATGAAGGCATTAAGAAGCAGACACTCAGATAAAACAGCAAAACGGGAATATTCGGGGGCCAACAGCCTTCCGAGCTGAGAGCCTCAGGAGGTTAACAGTACTCTGGGCTGAGACCCTCGAACAGATGCTGACCCACATAGCTATTCTCTCTGAACAGGTGATTATTATTAACAAACAGGTGTTCTGTGTTTTCTCATAGAACCAATATAAACTAGATAGGCAGCTGATGCCTGCTTACCACTGATCAAGGACAAACTACAAAGTATTCTCCAAGAGGGAGCCACGGGGGCAGGGTCACATACCCCGTGCTTAAAGAATTGTTTTAACCGGTGTATGATATACATATACTGTTTGCTACTGTAGAATGCCCCAAGCAGTTTTCCACTTTGGGGGGTGGGGGCGGCCAGGTTTTCCTTGCCATCCTTCTCAGCAAACAATATACTTTCATCATACACTCACTGTTGCTCAGCACCACACAAAGTACAAATATGAGTATTCACTCAGAGGACAAACACTGTAAGCGCTACGACTAAGGGTCGATGATCCATTTGGGAGCACTAATCAGGTGAACAGTGTCAACTTCAAGAAGGTGAGGATTTCAGGGAGCTGAATCCATCTGGGAGGTGGGGTGTTGTGAGGCTGGGCCTAAGCCAATCTTTGAAGAATGGTTAAGTGACCCTCAGACTTGGAATTTTGCAGGCCTTGGCACCACGCCTAGCAAGGAGATGAGGCATGCCTGCAACGGATTAACCCTGATGGAGACTTTCTTGAGGCCGTTAATACATCGTCTTTAAAGAACCCAGCAATAGGGACTTCCTTAGAAGCTGGAAAAAGAATAATTCAGGCAGAAAGGGGCATCAGAACTGTGCTGAACACACTGACCCTGGACACTTTCCTATCCAAGGGAAAGCCATGTAGAGGGCTCCAAAGAACAAAGCTCTTTCAACTGGGAGCTCATCTCAAGCAATAGGTCCAGAGGGGCTGCACAACAGGTTTGGGGTTCGAATCCAGAGCCCAAGCCCCCTGCCACAGATTCCAAGAACTCTCTAAGCCTTCCTGTTTCCTCGTTTAAAAAACGGAGTAATAATATCCAGACCTCATAGGGATAAATGAAGGATAAAAGGGGCTAATACCTGTGAGAGCGCTTTGCAAATATGATGATGCAGCATCAGCCCCCAGCTGGAGTCAAGTGAGATTAGGCCAGTTTTCTCCAGTTCTCCCAGCTCCTGCGCTAGTCGGTTTTGCAGTTTCCAGCCAAGAATTTCTGGAAAGGGTGTGACCACTGTGGGCAGAAGGGAGACAGTAATGAGTAGATGGAACACCGAATCAAGGCAAGTGGTAACCTGACCACCAGTCCCTCCACCTTCTCAGCCTCAGTTTCTTTCTCGTCATGAAGGACAGTGGGAGGGCAGACGCTGAGAAGGGCTGGGTAAGGATCTCGTGAGCCCAGGTGGCTCCGCCCCCAGGTTCCCGGCGGGAACCGGGAATTCCTGGTCCGGGCGACGTGCCACTAAATCCAGCACTGGGATGCCGTTCCGGAAGCACCTGGCACGGGGAGAGTATGTCCTTCCCAGGAAGGTGGACACGACCCCAGCCAAGGGCGCAGCTGCCCTGACGCCTCCCGGGACCGGCCGCCTCCTCCCGGGGTCCTGAGCTGGGCAGAGAGTTTAGTAGGGACCCTCTTCCCACCCGGGTCGCCCCCTGCCGGCCAGGTGGAAAGGTGGAGGGTGACCATGAAAGGCCCGAGAGCGGGGCTACCCGCTCGTGAGACACAAGAGGGTCAAACGGAAAGGGGAAGAAAGAAGGGAAACAGCGCTTTGGAAGGGGGGGTGGAGACGCCCTCTTCTCCCTCGGCTCTGCGGGGCAAACTGGACTCCTCTGCCCCTTTTGCGTCGCGAGGGCTTCAGATCTGGGCTTGGGATGGCACTCACCGGTCCCACGGCCCGAGCCGCCGTTCGTCAGGCCCCCGCCCGGCCAGACTGGAAAGGCGGACGGGCCGGGTCGGTCGGCGGGAAGAACCCGGGAGGGGAGAGAAGAGGAGGGGCAGGAGGGAACAGGGAGGAGGGGAAGCTGGGACCGCACCCGGTCGGCTGAGGCACCGGCCGAGTGGCCGGGGGTCGGCCGGCTCCTCCCCAGGGGCGGGGCGCGCACTCGCAGCGCGGGGCGCACGTGGCTCGGTTGGGACGCTGGGCCTGGCTCGTGGGCTCAGTCTAGGGTGAGATGTTTTGCGACCCTGGGGTAAAATGAGGGTAAAGCGGCAGCTTCCCACGTTCTGGGAAAGAAGCGCTGAAGCACTTCTTTCCTGGGCCTTCGGGCGCTCCCAGGGCCGGGGGTCTTTCTGTAGAGATTGCCGCGGCAGAGCCTTGCGCTGGTCCCGCCGACCCCTTTACCCTGACAGGGCCTCGCCGAGGGGTCTGAGGGGCCGCCGTTAGGTGCATGGCGCGCCGTTTCCTCTCCAGGCGCTGCTGTCAGGGATACAGCCCGAGAGGATCTGACCTGTATCAGCCCAAAGGACATAAGGACAAGAGTGGGTAGCCCAAGGGACACGGGGACAAGCGCCATTACGGGCGGGGACACGGAACCTGCCGGCCCGGAAGTGCAGGCTGCTCGCGTCGGCCGGAAGCGCCTCGCAGGAGGCGGAAGCGGTTGGTGCCCGCGTGGTTTGGCTGGTGCAGGGGGAGTCCGGCGGCCGGGCCCACGTAGACCCTCTGCCGGAGTCGCAGGCACCATTGGAGCACATGAGGTATACGGGCAGAGTGCAGCCAGATCGGGCGTCTGTCAGGAAAGACTTTCTTTTTTAAGAGACGGGAGTCTCGCTCTGTCACCCAGGTAGGAGTGCAGTGGCGCGGTCTCGGCTCACCCCCTGGGCTACAGCGACCCTCCCGCCTCAGCTTGGCGAGTGGCTGTGATTACAGGGGGCCCAGCTAATTTTTAATTTCTTTTTTTTTCTTTTGTAGAGGGAATCTCGCAATATTCCCTAGGCTGATTTCGAGCTCCTGGCCTCAAGTGATTCTCCTCCCAAAGCGCTAGGATTACAGGCATACGCCGCTGCTCCCCGATAGGACTTTTTAGTTTTTTTTAATTTAATTTTATTTATTTTATTTTTTATTTTTTTGAGACGGAGTTTCGCTCTTGTTGCCCAGGCTGGAGTACAATGGCGTGATCTCGGCTCACCGCAACCTCCGCCTCCCGGGTTCAGGCAATTCTCCTGCCCCAGCCTCCTGAGTCGCTGGGATTACAGGCACGCGCCGCCATGCCCAGCTAATGTTTTGTATTTTTAGTAGAGACGGGGTTTCACCATGTTGACCAGGGTGGTCTCGATCTCTTGACCTCGTGATCCACCCGCCTCGGCCTCCCACAGTGCTGGGATTACAGGCTTGAGCCACCGCGCCCGGCCGGACTTTTTTATTTTTAAAGGTCAATTAATTTGAGTCGGTTACTGTGAGGTATTGTCGCAGGTTCCAGATAGGCCATAATGCATGCATGCATTCACTTACTTATTCAGTTCATGTTAAGTGAGAAGCTCTAGCTTCATGTTTGACCAACAAATGTGTTCTTCCAGTATGCCACTTTTCAGACGATGTGTGGCATTCAGAGGTGTTTTATAGCCCTTAATAAAACAACAACTAACACTACTGTGTGCTATACATCTATTCTTAATGCACCCATGGTACCTACTTCCACCCTAACCTGAAAACAGCTGTCTGCAAATAAGGGAAGGACCAGCCTGGGTGGGGATCCAGAAATCACTACAGGGCTCACGTTTTATACGGAGGCAGTAGATTTAGAGAGGCTCTGAACTGGAATCAAGGCCCCCAGCTTCAAAATGTACTTGTAGCCCGCTAGCTTTTGGATTTGCTTTAAACTCATTAGTAAAGTATATTCAATTTTCATCAAAGACTCTTCGTGATACATACTGTACTCCATAATAGAAATTCCCATGTGCTTATGATGCCATTCTCAGGGTTTATATACCAAATTTGCTTTATTTTCTTTTTCATTTCTTTCTTTTTTTTGAGATGGAGTCTTGCTCTGTTGCCCAGGCTGGAGTGCAATGGTGCGATCTTGGCTCACTGCAACCTCCGCCTTCCTGGTTCAAGCGATTCTCCTGCCTCAGCCTCCTGAGTAGCTGGAATTACACGCGGCTGCCACCACGCTAGGCTAATTTTTATATTTTTAGTAGAGATGGGATTTCGCCATGTTGGCCAGGCTGGTCTGGAACTCCTGACCTCAGGCGATCCTCCCACCTCGGCCTCCTGAAGTGCTGGGATTACAGGTGTGAGCCATGCGCCCGGCCCCAAATTCACTTAGTAAGTCTATCTTGTCCTGGGAATAGTTGAAGCTTTGTAACCAATAATTTCATACTATGAGTATGACAGTTCTATCCTAATGCATTAGTGTTAAGCTTCTTCCTACAATCCTTGGAAGAGGAATCACAAATCCTAGGTGAAATCATTAGGGCCCAAAGTTCTGCTCTGAAATCTAGGGATAAGAATAAAATTAAGCCAGGTATGCTGATTATACAAGAATGCTGCTTTTCACAAATCCATTCCTTTGCTCTTGTTTTCACAGGAAGAAAAAAAATGTCTCAAAAGCAGATGAAGGAAGCTTTTGTCAGTAACCTCAATGGAACCACCGTGCTGGAAATCACCCAGGGATTGTGCTTTCCTGCATTCTGTATCCTGTGCAGAGGATTCCTGATCATTTTCTCACAGCACATATGTTCTTTTTCACATACCTGGAAAACTAGATTCTTCATTGACTTTGTTGTCCTAATAGTTCCCATGGTAGCCACTTTGACCATTTGGGCTTCATTTATTCTCCTTGAGCTTCTCACTGTAATTATCTTTGGGGCAGGGCTGTTCTATCAAATATACCGAAGGAGGACTTGCTATGCCAGAGTTCCTTTCCAGAAAATCCTTGAAAAATTCTTGAACATCTGTGTAGAATCAGAATACATTCCAGCTATCTCCTGTTTCCGTGTAATTACCAGTGCATTTACTGCTATTGCTATTTTGGCTGTGGACTTCCCACTTTTTCCCAGAAGATTTGCCAAAACTGAGCTCTATGGGACAGGAGCAATGGATTTTGGAGTAGGTGGCTTTGTTTTTGGGACTGCAATGGTTTGTCTAGAGATCAGGAGGAGAAAATATATGGAAGGGTCCAAATTGTGTTACTTTACAAACTCATTGTACTCTGTTTGGCCCTTGGTCTTCCTAGGAATTGGACGATTAGCCATTATAAAATCAATAGGCTATCAGGAACATTTAACTGAGTATGGAGTTCACTGGAACTTTTTCTTTACCATCATAGTTGTGAAATTGGTAACACCACTGCTTTTGATTATTTTTCCCCTAAATAAGTCCTGGATTATTGCCCTCAGCATTACTGTATTATACCAGCTAGCCCTTGACTTTACCCCACTGAAGACGTTAATATTATATGGTACTGATGGTAATGGCACACGGGTTGGTCTGTTAAATGCCAACCGCGAAGGAATAATCTCTACCTTGGGGTATGTGGCAATACACATGGCTGGTGTACAAACAGGGTTATATGTGC